TATTCAGTCTTGGTGAGCTATAATTTATAATTTTTTGCCAGCCTATTAGGAACATTTAAAGCACTACAATCTAAATTTAACAAATGAAAATTATATATATATATATATATATATATATATTGTAACGACGAGAAATAAGAGACAACGCCTTTGCTGCAGGCCGGCTGTTCTTATTCTGCCTCGTCTTTCTCCTCTTCCTTCCTAGCATGCGAGTCTGTGCCAGAGAGAGTTCCAGTTTCGGTTTTCGTCATTACACTCGGCCATGACTGCTAGCATTGTCGTTGGGCCAAACGACAATGTTCTGGTAGGTAAGGCTAGCTGCAGCAGTTGACAGTGCTTCAGGTGGGCGAGGTTGGCTACATCGTCGTGGTCGGTCTCGACCACGCTGGAAGTTTGTCGAAATTGGCTCCGGCGGCCGACACTGGCTATGTCGTCTGGGTCGTTCACCGTGTCGTGATGGAGACTGGGTCCTGTGCGCGCGCGGAGCTGGCGGTAAAGTTTTTGGTGGGTGGGCTTGACTTTGTCGCCGTGGTCGAACTCGTCCATGATGCAACGTTTCCTGACAACTCGTAGAATGCAGTTCAGGTGGACGGCCCTGACTGTTCCGGCAAGGTCGCAGAGTAACCTGGAAACGCTGGTGTTTGTCCCACCGTCGCTGGTGGACTGAACTGCAGCGGGATGCCCTGCGAGGCAGCCATGATGACGTTTGGGCCATTTCTTGAAATGAGATGGGACGCAGCTCATGGTTGGGCATAAATACCACAGCAGAACTCCCAGACGTAGTCGAGCCGGTGGCTTCTGGCGAACTGTCATGTGCAAACATCGTATGCTGGGAGGAAACAGCAGGAGGGCTGGTCCTCGGCAAGTTCTCGATGGCAGTGGCCTCAGCGTAGCTAGGTATCTGGGCTTTCTCGAAGGAAACGTTCCTTGGTAGCCGAGTGTCTGCGTGGCTGAGCATGATCGTGGTCTGGTAGGGTTCAGTTGTGTCTAATACAATAGGATTGAGTGCCTCGATGTCCTCAGACGACGAGCGCGAGGGCCGTATCTCCGGACGAAGGTCTGGTGGGGGTATTTTCAGGTCGAATACCGATGCAGAGTCCGGGACCTGTAGTGTATGATTCCAGCCACTTCGGTCAGGGTCAGCAGCAGGGAACTCCTGGCAGCATTCCGTTGACGAGCTGCAACGAACGATTGCAGCCTCGAGGCGGGGCGCTGCCTGGGCTCCATCCTCGGCCTCGGGGAAGATCGAGCTGGACTTGCTGGAGTCACAGGAAATCCGTCCGAAAGCGGCAATCAGGGCTGCACTCCATTCTGCCCAGGACTGCTGCCTGACGCCTTCGTACCTGTGCCATGCTGCGGCAGCATCCCGCAGGCGATCTATGGCCATGTCCCACTTCTGCTCTTCAGTCGTTCCGAGAGCGTTGACGGTTGCCACCCATTCCTCGGCGTCGTCCTGGAAGCCGCGAAATTCCGGTAGCGCGAAGGAAATCGGCGATGGCGGGACGGCGGGCAGAACTCCGAAATGTGCCCCCGCCAAGCAGTTCACTTGCTCCGATACCTCCGCGAGAGAACGCCGGAGATTGCGACGGTTCTCGGGCGAGCTTACCTCGAAGTTTTGTGCGGCGGCCGCAGCCAACATGGCATTGAGTGCGCACAATGTTGGCAAGATGGCAGGACATAGCTTGGAACTCGACGCTATGAGGGCGTTGGTCGTGACACGGAGTTGCGCGATGGTATGCTGCAGCTCCGCTGCGCTGTCGTGTGATCCGCACGAAGAGCCAAGGCCCGCCTCTGCGGAGGATACAGTGACTGCGGTATTCGAGGTGGTACAATTCTTGACCAAGGACGCGTGGACGGCGTCCCTTGGAAATCCAGCTGTGGTCGGATTCGTGGACATGGGTTCCAGGGCGCTGGAAGCGTCAACGACGTTCCCAGGCAAGCGGAACCCGTGTGATGAGTTGTGACCTGGTACTGTGGCGTAGATGAAGCGGTCTTGCGCCGCCGGGTAGGCCTCGACGCCGTACACGGTGGGTGCTTGAAGCGCCGACAGGTTGCCAGGTATGGAGGAGGCATGTACGCCATCCCTAGGTGAGAGGGGCCCGTGCGCATGGTTGCCGCGACGTGTCGCGTCCCAGGACAAGTTTCCCGGAACCACAACGGAGGCCTGGACGCCATCCGTCGGTGCTGGGATCGATGCTGGCCGCGACGGACGCCTTGCGGGTCCCATCAGCGAAGAAGCGTGACGGCGAGGAGGCCTTGACGCCGTCCCCGAACGGTGGTGTCAGTAAACAGCTGCCGAGGAGGGCTTGACGCCGTCCTCAAGCGACGCTTACCGCGGCTGCACGTCGGCGGGCGTTCTGGATGACGAAACCGAGACGTAAGCCGTTTTCTTCGTCGACTGCGCCATTGTAACGACGAGAAATAAGAGACAACGCCTTTGCTGCAGGCCGGCTGTTCTTATTCTGCCTCGTCTTTCTCCTCTTCCTTCCTAGCATGCGAGTCTGTGCCAGAGAGAGTTCCAGTTTCGGTTTTCGTCATTACAATATATATATATATATATATATATATATATATATATATATATATATATATATATATATATATATATATATATATATATATGTACACGCATAACAAGAAAAAGTCAGGCCCTGTTTAATAAAAAGTAGCCTGATATTTTCTACAGGAAGACGCGCGCACCGTTAATATAGATCCCAGATATAGAACTTAATATAGATCCCAGGCTTCTCACATGGCTCGAATGTTTTCTAAAAAATCGTTCTCAATTTGTTTCAGTTAATAATGTAAGCTCTGAACCAAGTGCCGTTCATTCCGGCGTACCACAAGGCTCTGTACTAGGCCCACTGCTCTTCCTTATATACATTAATGATTTACCATCCTGTATTACCTCAAATATTCATTTATTTGCGGATGACTGCGTAATCTTCCGAGAGATGACAATATTACCTCTCTTCAACATGATCTTAACTTCATTTCTCTTTGGTGTAAAACATGGCTCATAGAATTAAACAATAAGAAATGCCAATTTTTACGTGTTTCGAGAGCGAACCATCAACTTCCAAACTATTACCTTGATAACACCCCTCTTCAATCCGTGACAAACTATAAATGCCTTGGGGTGTATATAACAACTGATCTGACCTGGACTGTTCACTGTAATTACGTCATTAAAAATGCTAACCGAATGTTAGGTTACCTCCGCCGCAACTTTTCAATGGCCCCCTTCTTTCTTGAAACTTCTTCTTTACACTACACTAATACAACCTAAACTCGAATATTTCGCTGCAGTATGGGATCCTAGTCATGCCAACCTAATACACTCTCTTGAAATGGTACAGAATAACTCAATTCGTTTTATACTTTCCAATTACAACTGGACAGCTAGCATAACAGCCATGAAATCTAGCCTCAACTTACCTTCAATTTCATCCCGTCGTAAAATGTTTCGTCTCCACTTGTTTCACAAGCTGTTTCATAACACATCGCTGCGGGACGGTCTTATCTTGCCTCCTAGTTTTATCTCACCCCGGCTGGATCATTCCCATAAGGTGGGGTTGCCTTCTTGCAGGACTCGCGCCTTTTCTCAGTCTTTCATACCTCGCACCTCTGAGGACTGGAACCGGCTTCCCGCATCAGCGGCAACCATTGTAAATCACCTTCATTTCAAAAGTGTCTTAGCTAGTTATGTGTAATTACAGCCAACAAAGTATTGTATTACCCGATGCTGTGTTGTTCCTGTACAGTATTTATTTTCTTGTCGTTTTTCCTGTCTTGATGTAATTCTCATCATTCCCGCGTTTTTTGTTTGCCATAAAGCCTGTTAGCTAAACTGTATAATTAAGATCTTCTGCTCAATGTAAGATTCGCCGCTGCATTTTGAAAAATTTTTTTCTTCTCTTTCTCAACCACTCCCCTCTGTAATGCCGTTTGGCCCTGAGGGTATTGCAAATAAATAAATAAATAAATAAATTAGTTGACTTATTTACAACGCAAAAGAAGAAAAAAAGAAACAAAGTAAGTGTAGTGATACCAAAAAATTGACTCCATCCTTGTTGTACGTGAGAGTGCACTTCTAAATTGCCTTTGTCCCTCTTACACTGAAATGGCTTACGCAATTGTGTAAGAGGAGTACGTTTCCCTTTAACGCTAATCATTGCAATTTTTCTGTTGCCACCTCTAGTTAAAATGTTCAAAAAAATGTTGCATCTCCAAACAAAGGCACTGGGATTCGAAGGGTGGACCCTTCGAATCACAGTGCCTTTGTATGGAGACGCAACTAAATGATCGATCATTTAGTTAAATGATCGTATATTTAACTGCAAGCGTTCGACGGAAGGAGTGCGCACATTTTCATTAGTTGTAAAGCGGAATTCAACGATCTTTATAATTAACTTTATGCATTCATTGGCAAGTTTAAAAGCGTTACTGTAATTGTTGTTGACAGCCAGTGACCGACAATTCGCCTTGTTGCTGCGTTATTGCTGCGTTGTTGCTCATCCAATGAGCAATTCGTCAGACCATCGGGGGGCATTTTCCTTGACTATACCTTTTTTGATGTATACCTCCGCGTTATTGCCCCCGGCACTTACTTCCGATTAGATAATAGACCCACCGCAAAACATCGAGGCCACGGCCAGCTTTCACTCAAGCTTGTAACGGGCTTATTGACTGTGCACCTAATCGCGAGAGACGATTCGTTGTTTCTTCACGCGGCGCATCGATTCTGTTTCCTCTTGACCTTATTATCTTTCGGCCAGTCGGTCGCTTTTCCCAACATAAACAGTATAAACACTCGAGAAGCGAACGTGCTTCGTACATGCAGCACGTTCCAAGCTATATAGGTGCCTGTAATAATTCACGCGAAAGAGACGTTGCTCGTATTCATGCATCAGTATTGGTCGAGATGCTCCAAAAGCGAGCACGTCCTCTCCCGCGGTTCTGTTTTCGTGCGGGCGAGCGCACATTACGCGCAGTGCGGTCGCGTGTAAGATAGTGGCTGCCGCAGATCCAGCGGTCGTGTCCGACCTCCTGCAGCTGTCCTTCCGAGGGGCGCGTGCACTCGTGGTCCGTACGTGCGTAAGCAGCCAGAGTGAGCCGTACGCCGCTGGACGGGGGAATGCTGCGCAAGAGGCATCATTCACGGCGGCCCGGCAGCCTCGGTACCACGCGCACCTTCTCTGGCACACGCGCCTATGTCGCAGCAGCGAGCTCGAGCACCGATGCGCGCTCTTTCCGTCAACGTCAGCCGCAGATAAGGAGGCCCCCTGAGAACAACCACTGCCCAGGTTGGTTGGGTCAATTTGTTTTACGAGAGGCTGCCGTTGGCGCCCTGCGCGACGATGCGGGCATGACACTCGTCCCCCCCTGCTTGGAGGAGTCGCTGTCTCCCCGGGTGAGTAGCCAAGAACGCCATTTTCTTGTTGCGGTACCCGTCACGACCCTTCGGGTCACGACCTTTGTGTGAGCCCTGAGCGTGTTCGCTTATAGCTGCGGTTAGAGTTGGCCTGAACGCTACACTAGTATAGGCTTTTGTTTTGTTAACTCGTTGTCGCCAGGGTGGAGAATTGTGAACACGTGAGGTCAAGGTAAACGGAGGGTAGTCAAACTTCCGCTATTCGCTTGTCGTTGCTCTCTGTGAGCGATGCAACCCGAAAAACCATGGAACAAGTGAACCGGGTTGTACAAGGAAACGAATTGGTAAATATTTCCGTCCATCAGAAGTTTATCCAATCCAATCAGAACTCAGACTTATTGGTCAGCCGGCTTCACTAGTGATATGCTGCGTAGCAGGATTCACTTGCAATTTATGCTTGAGAAAAATTCTAGCGTAAGACATTTAAGAGTGAACGGGTCAGTGTTGTAAGGCGAATGAGTTTGTACTGCCCCATTATGAAGTTGCGGTGCAGAGAACAACACACGAGTGACAATTAAGCGCTTAGAATCAATGCACATCGTCATGAAAAGTGATTTTAAGCAGAAATAACTTGTAAGAGCGAATTTCAGGCACTCCTGAGGCCCAGTTCACAAAACTAGCAAGTGTTAGTTTAATTATTTTACAGCCAGGTTCGGTAATTATATGTCCCGCATCGGGATTGGGTGAGAGATTCTCCGATGAAAATTTTAGCGTGAGATGTTTTTTGTGAACACAGGCCCTGACGATCCATAAGCTTATACAAGTGGCCGACCAACAGCGACACACTTACGCTCCAAAAGGGCTATTCGCCATTGTGTAAACGTCTGCGCAAAGAATGCGCGAGGGAAGCCTTCAGATAATCCTGATGCTAATAATATCTCGATTGAAATCTGCTGACAACTGGTGATAGGGGCTTACGAACGTTCAGCTTTGAAAATTCGGCCACAATTTCGCAGAGCATCTAACTTAAGGTGATTTGAGCCACATCCCCACAAGACTTCGGTAATGAATTGACAAGCATTATAGCATCGAATGTAGTTTCACCTGCCAAACGGTTATAATATAAGAGTTTTCTTATAACAGGCACGGTGGTCCTGATTTCATATTATTTATACCATCTTACACCATAATTGTTTGTAAAAAATCTTTTCAGGTTATCCTTCATCTCGGCTTAACAATAGTGAAGCTGGGTGGCCAATGGGAACAGTATATATACATACCAAAAATTCTCTGAATTCGGCCCTAGTCTTCAGTGAGGTTTCCTTACTGTTTTTCGTAGTAAGTACCCGACACTGATGAGTAGTAGGACATTCGTTTAGCGTGCCCTGGTTGCAACCTAAGGACTACCACTTGATTATCGACATTTATTCAGCAATTTAATGCAATTTCAACAATCTGCCTTAATCATCTGGGTGATGCGCAGTTTTGTTCGTCGATAAATGCGATCACTTGCTTGCATTCGCGACTAAGCTCTTTACTTCTAAGATTTGTGATGATGTGCGTGTGTGGGCTGAAGGTGGAAGGTATGTCTAAAAAATATTTATTAGAAAAATAATAAATATATAGAGGGGGAGATGCACTCATGAGTAACAAGACGACACATGAGGGTGCCCTCTTGTTATGTGTGCCATCCCGTAATTCCGAAGGTCTCATTCCTGCATCTTAAGACTCGCGCAGTGCAACTGTAGAACTGTTTTTTCTTTTTCTGCAGGGCTTTGTCCGTCTAACGTAAATACTATCCCACTATATGTACATGCAAAATAAATTTCGTAAACAGAATCCGAAAGTGCTGCGTCACTCCTGCATACCGGACACGCTCGGCGACGCAGCGAGTTGCAGGTTGGTGTCGCAAGCAGCCATTAGGGCAAGGTTAAGTCACTGTTTGTACGGTTTATCGCGTTCTGAAACGTAAGCCCTAGACGACGTCCGTGCGCGTGACTTCTCGCAGTAAAAACTATTGGCCCTCCCGGACCGGCAGGGGCTATGATGCCGTGCATGGAGACAGCGACCGTACCACAGGGGTCAACGCGACAGATTCCGCGTGTACTCTGCGTTCGGAGCAACAGTTACGCCACTCGGACGTGTTGTTATGATGTGGCCCGAGATGCACGGAAAGCGCGGCCGAGCGAGTGCGTTACTTGATATAAGCAAGGTTGAGTTTGAGGATGTTGTAGGTAGCCGGCGGATCTGGCCTTGCATAATTTGCAGGCAATTGCCCCGCCCGGTTTTCTCTTTGCTATAGTTGTAGCTAATGTCCTTTGTTTTTTAACTAAGCACGAGCAGGCTTTTAAAATAAAAATCCTGCATAGCGCGACGTAATCCTGCATAAGACGGCGGCCCTTGGGCTATTTCACTTGCAGTGTTGTTCCGGTACTCTATCTCGCTGCAGTATACCTCAAACATAATTGTCACTTATCACCAGTCACATGCGAGGTCCGTAGCAACCAAAAATTTCAAGAAAAGTCGTGACACCTGTTTCCCGAAGATTGAGGAACCACGCGGAAACACAGTATCAGTCACGCTGTCACATGGCGAGCCTAATACAGGCGTAATGATCGACGAGTAATGCATATAGGCACACACACACGTCCGCTATACAGCACAGAAGCAGTGCGGCGCCTGAATGCAAGTTCAAATGCGTGAGCGGCATAATAAAGACGCAAGGATTACATAGGCCGCTCAAGAATGAGGCCGGCCGACGCTTTATGCCTGGAATTTTTTTTTAGTCCATGCTATAATATACGCTCACCGACATTCTGCGCTCGCATTGTGCAACGGATCTTGCTGTTGGCATCAATGGAGAAACGCGGGTACTCAGACGAAATGCTATCTGCAGAGCTCGGTCTAAGCTGTTGAGTCATGTTTACTCCCAAGAAGGCGCGACATTGGCATTGTAAAGCTTCAGACGGCGCTCATCCGCAGCTTCTAATCGCACGAGTTACTACGTCGACGCAGTTTCGTTTATGAACTTGGGGCAGAATTCACAAAACGTCTCGTTCGCAAGGGCGTTTTACATTGGTGAGCCGGCTTCGGTAATTATATCTCGAACATAATGGTCGACTAAAACATTCTTATAGAATAAATTTTTCATCATATCACGTTTCTATGAATACGGCCCCCATGCTGTGCGACTGGTTGCTAAATAAATAATAAAAAACGACTCGGGTTCTAGCATTGATTTCCGTGTATAACCACACGGATGCACATGCAAATGCAGACACACAAACACTCAAACACACATGCAGACACACACGCACGCACATACCACACCTGTTGCTTAGCCTCCTTATTTTGCTGAGCGCTGTGTGCAATGGAGCCCGAACTGGACTACCAGACCCTCCATTTACGTTAGTACTAACCTTGAAAACTGTGCTCTCGCAAGACTGCATACCAATGCATCTGGGGCCGAACTCGCTATGTTTTTTCTTTCTTATTTTCGTAAAGGCTTTTTAGCATTGTTCAACCAATTTAAACCAATTTAGAACAGTTTCGACAGTTATAGGGGCAGTGTACGGAATGTCTGATTTTATTTTTGTCGAAGCGACTCAAACGAATGGCGTTTTTTTCTGAATACAGGTTTTGCCTGATTTTGAAATAGAAGAACAAATGCAAAGTAACATCTAAAGGGGCTGTTTAAAAGTTATTCATGCACAGAAACAATTATTGGCCGTGGTTCAATTCTGTCTAGACCTGTTTTGCAAAAAGCTGTGCTCTAAAGAAGTAAGGATATTTTCTTTTACAAATACCGATGTTATATGCGTTATAGTTACTGTCATGCACTTTTATTGTTGTGGCTACAAAAAAATTGAGATAGAGCAACAGGAAAAAGGTGCTCAGGTTCGGAATAAGTAGTAGCAATATTACAATTTTGGAACTACAAGTGCGATTTACCCGTATGAACCTCTTAAATATAAATGTACAAGGCCATTTACAAAGTGTAGGAATACAATGGTTGACTTGACATAAGCATCGACGGGATCGACAGCATAGTATTGCTATCATGATCCAACATAATTTCACAAAAGCTTTTTTTACCTCATTACTTCGAATGTACACGTACGCAATTTATGGATCATGTGCTTAGTTTCAGGTTGAGGGAATCAAGGCACCCACAAGATAACCGAGGTGTTTTTTATTGGCGCGTGATGGTCCTGCTGTCTGAGATTATCCGTCCACTCTCATTTCTGAACAAAAGAAAAAATAAATAAAAAATAGGTTTGCCTATCTGCGACATTGACAAGTTCAGTTGCAATGACCCTTCTTTTTTGCTTCCTCGTTTTATTCTGTATTTCTGCAGCCAATGTCCAGCTGCGAGTTGTGTCAGTGCTGTCTGTAGCTTTTTTTTTCTTCTTTCCTTCTTTCTTCTCTTTTTTTTCTTGCATGACTTCTAATGATATATTCCCCGCGGAAGCGTCCTATTACGTCTGGTCTATTATGGCATTCTTTTCCATTTTCAAGCTATTTTGTGGAGCTAATAAATGTTTTTTATGTTGGTGCTTCGACTCCTTACAGTTTTTTGAAAAGCATTATTATTCTCTTGAAAACTTGGCTAATGTTTATCTGAGAGTTATCGCCCAAGAACGGTGGAGAAAATGACTTATGCGACAGACGCAACGTGTCCGTCGGATCCATTTGGTTGCCTTTGACATATCAACAAACACCTAAAAAGTCTCATTCTTTGGGTAAAGAATAGTAGAAATACGAGGTATTGTAGGCATTGCCCGCTGACAGTCAGTTATTTTTAGATGCTTAAGATCATCTGGTGTCAATAAACCCAGCTGAACGCCAGCGCGTTTATCGTGCTTGACCCTTGACTTATGCAAAGTTTTCGTTCAGTGATCACTCGAAATCCCGCGTTTGTGTTCTTTTAGTGCACTGTTCCGTTATACCTGGGGTCTCAAACTCACATCAACTACCGGGCCACAGTCAGAAAACTGAGCTCCGCAAAGGGCTGCTTAAAGGCCGCAGCCGGGACAGTA